TACCACCAAAGATATATCAGACCAAACCAAGCCTTTATAGTAGTGAGGTATCGAAAATCGAAATGGTGTATTTAAGTGTTTTACACTCACAAAAAAGAAACCTATCACTCTATAGGTATTTGAAGAACTTGTAGCATTCCGCCACAATTTAATTATTTGTATTGTTAGCCGACAATACTTAAAGAATGATAGGTTGTTTTTTTTTGTGAGTGTAAAACACTTAAATACACCATTTCGATTTTCGATACCTCACTACTATAAAGGCTCGGTTTGGTCTGATATTTCGTTGGTGGTAGTACTAGTCCAGGGTCACTGATAAGGAGTGAAATTCTCCGAAACTAGTCTGGCTCACAGACAGACACACACACACACACTCAAATGAAAGAATAGACCCATTCCAGGCTTTTACTTGCTGTTAAACAAATGTTTAAACAACTCTATTCGATTTTAAATTATTATCAAATGTAAGGAATTTCACAAGCGGATTTGATTTGAATCTGATCAAGAAAATTGTTTAATGAAAAGCTTGAAGTCTGAGTTATTTCGTAAAATGAGATGTGTATAAAAATAAACATTTAACTGATGTTCCTCAATATAACATGAGTGAAATAATATGAGTGAAATATATGAGTGAATCATGAAATAATATGAGTGAAATATATGAGTGAATCATAAAATAATATGAATGAAATATATGAGTGAATCATGAAATAATATGAGTGAAATATATGAGTGAATCATGAAATAATATGAGTGAAATATATGAGTGAATCATGAAATAATATCAATGAAATATATGAGTGAATCATGAAATAATATCAATGAAATATATGAGTGAATCATGAAATAATATGAGTGAAATATATGAGTGAATCATGAAATAATATCAATGAAATATATGAGTGAATCAGTCTGCACCGTCTACGGTTGTGAACATTTTAAAATTTTAAACAAATAACGTGATTTCTTCTAATTATTTAAGAGGTAAGAAATGTATTTAAAGTTATCAATATAACTATTTTTTCCTACCTAAAGATCCTATTCTTAGGTAAATACTAATATTTGAAGATTGGTAGGAAATTTTCCGGCCACCTATAATCGCTTCAGGATCACTAGCGTCCTCTGTGATCGATAAGGATGAACCTGTACAACTCGGGCACTTGTTCACCATCATGCTGAAATAGATACACATCAGGCAGAGTACTGCGCCACCTAGGAGGTAAGTGAAGAGATAACCCTAGAAAAAAAAATCGTTATAAAAGTTGTCGAATTAGTTCTGTTAACGATTGCTGTCTAAAATAATAATGATGATTTTGTAACTATAATATTTTATAAATTAAATATGATATCAATTAAGAATACAAATCTCTTTCAAAATGTTTCAAAGTTCCGTGTAAAAGAAAATTCAACAAGGTTAAATAAAACAGTTAAAATAGATTTTCAGATACATATAATGCAAAAAAAAAATAAAATAAAATTGCTTTGGTATACAACATCTCGGTAACTTGCCTTTTACAACGTACAAGGAAAACTTACGTGAAACAAGAGCAGTGGTACACTGTTATCCAATACTTCTGTAACCACAAGCACCAGGGTTATCATTATCACGAGCTTGGCATACAGGCTGCTTAACACGTGGACTGTATCATTAGCAGGTCTTCTTCGCCTGAAATACACCACCCGTAAAATGTTAAGTATCATTAGCAGGTCTACTTCCTTTTAAATACACCACTCGTAATATTTGTTAAGTAGCATTAGGAGGTTGAAATACACCACCCGTAAAATGTTAAGTATCATTAGCAGGTCTACTTTCTCTTAAATACACCACCAGTAACATCTGTTAAGTGTCATTAACAGGTCTTCTTCGCCTGAAATACACTACCAGTAACGTTTGTTAAGTGTCATTAACAGGTCTTCTTCGCCTGAAATACACCACCAGTAATATCTGTTAGGTGAAATTAACAGGTCTTCTTCGCCTGAAATACACTACCAGTAACGTTTGTTAAGTGTCATTAACAGGTCTTCTTCGCCTGAAATACACCACCCGTAATATCTGTCAAGTGAAATTAACAGGTCTTCTTCGCCTGAAACACAACACTAGTAACACCTGTTAAGTGTCATTAACAGGTCTTCTTCGTCTGAAATACACCACCCGTAATATCTGTTAAGTATCATTAGCAGATATTCTCCGCCTGAAATACACCACCCTTAATATCTGTTATCTATAACCTTATAATTTTTTTCTGACTTATAAAGATGTGACACAATCATACACAGATTGCTTAAAATGAGAGTCTAAAACTACCAGCCACTTAATGTTACTAGCTCTTCAACAGAAGTTTTTGTGTTTAAAAACTGCATAAAAACAGCAAAATGCGAAACTGAAAATCTGTATGTACCTCCCCGTATGGACCTAATGAACCCACATACCAATTTTGGTAAAAAACCACCTGACCCCCGTATGGACCTAATGAACCCCCACACCAATTTTGGTAAAAATCCACCTGACCCCCGTATGGACCTAATGAACCCCACACCAATTTTGGTAAAAATTCACCTGACCCCCGTATGGACCTAATGAACCCCACACCAATTTTGGTAAAAATTCACCTGACCCCCGTATGGACCTAATGAATCCCCACACCACTTTTGGTAAAAACCCACCTGAACCATGCGAAGTAGTTACGTGGACATACAACAGACAGTACTATTATATTTATATACGGGGAGGGCGTGAAACACGTACTTGTTCTATAGTTTGTGTATAGAATTATCATGTTTTATCTTTATTTTGCAGGTCAGGGAAAGCTGGAATCATAAGTGCTGAAAACACTTAGTGTTATTTTGTGTTTATTACATCTTTGAGCACTAAGAAGTTTATAACAATCCTATTTCTCATCAAAATTTCTAGGAAAAAAAAATAAATACGTTAAAATTATTTATCTATACTGTTCAATTTAGTCTAGATAATATTTTTATACATTAGACACAATATTTGGTTCCAAACCTATTTAAATACCTTGAAGGCAAAAGCATTTCTATGTGTGATTGGTCATTTCCTGACGTACTGGTGCCGCCCTCTGGCAGTGGCAAAGGTAACATATTTTTGTCAATTTCATCAGTTGCTTTGCTGGCTACATTGTTTGTTTTCGAAGCCGAGTTTGCTGTTGGTGGGGGTGGAGGGAGGGGAGGAGGAGGTGGTGGAGGGGTAGGGGGTGGATCTGTTTTTTCTGGAGAAGGAAACGTAGTTTCTTGAATATTATCAGATGTCTTCACGTTGTTGTTTGCGACGTTCTTCATGGTGTCCACCTTTGGCATTTCTGAAATCATTTCAATTTCTAAAAAATAGTGAAAAAAAAAAGAGAACCGTGTCAAAATATAATTATGTTTCCGCATACGAAGATATATTTAAGAAATTTAATTTCATGTTTGTGGCTTTAAAACAACAATGCTGAAGTAAACGTATATGCGAAAAAGTATATTTAATGAAGAAGCAATAGATTATTTAAATCAAGTCACTTATCACTACAATATCGGAATCATGTACTTAAGGGCGAGAACGTCACACACACAAAAGATATGTCGACAGAAATACATAGACTTTAGAAAGAAAGAGGCTTTCTTTATTTGTTTGTTTTAGAGCAAAGCCACGTTGGAATATCCGCTGTGTCCAAGGGAACTCGAACCCCGGGTTTTAGCGTTGCTATTCCGTAAACTTACGGCTGTCCCACCGGGTGATAAGATAAATATGTAGATGCACAAATGGTTAACATATCCACAAAGAGGAGACAAACTAATGGATGAACATTACAAGCAATTTAAAAATATAGAGATTCCGACAGATACAGATTTAAAATAAAACTATCTTGTATGTATAACGAATTGAACATAGAAACAGGTGTATCAAAATATCAGAAGTCCAAAGATATCACGTGAGAAGTAAAGGCAGACGTAGAGACGCAACCAAGTAGCTATGTATTCAAACACAATAGAAGATATATATAAACAGTGACAGAAACATGGAGGCTGTTTTTACAGATAACCTACGTATCAAATAAACAAAACGATCACAGCATATAAACAGAAAAACAGATAGATAGAAGGAATAATAGATGGATAAACAAAGTTATCAAAACGAAAGTTACGTCTATAGCTCTACTTTCCCACGCTTGATAACTGGCAACTTTAGTCTGCGCTGTGCCAACCGCAGGTATCAAACGTCAATTTTAAACGTTATAAATTAGCCTTCAAGTTTACCACTGAGTCACCGGCCAGCAACAGAGTTAACAATTGTCAAGTTTCACAAACTATGGCGAGTTTTGATGTACAGAAGAATACACCCAACTGTTCTAATTGGAAACTAGCTTACCAGTGTTGGGGACTGTATTTGCCTATGAGCCTACAGTTTGACGCTGTGTAACAAGAAACATAAGTGAGCCTTTGTAACACATTTTGATACTCTTAGTAGACTACGTCGATTTAGCAACAATCTATCATCAACTCCGTGTTTATGTTCTGGCGTTGCAGCTTAAGTTAATGACAATATTTCGTAAGCTACGGGGACAATTTAAACAGGAAACAGGTCGTTAGCAGCGACTTGATCTCGTTAAGCTCCATTGTGTGGCTTCGCGCTTCAAATTAAAAACACATCAAAGGTGTTATGTTTATTTTATAGCAACACATTCATAATTATGTTGCAGGGTATATAGCAATAAAATATCAGTTTATCGATGGAGAACAAAAATCCTGAAACGGACTGTATTGCATAAAAGTACGTTACACTATGTCAAAAGAGGTTTGATTCACCTTTATCCATAAATGATTTAATACCTGTTTATCAAAAAAATAATATTGTTAAAAGCACCAGTAACAACACTTCAACCATATTTTGCAAATGTTATTTTTTATGAATTCTTCTCCACACCCCCCACACACCCCGTAGGACAGCAGTAAGTATATGGACCTAAAACGCTAAACTTCGGGACTCGATTCTCCGCGGTGGACACAGCAAACAATTATGCATTCTCGAACCTTGTCTTCATTATTTAAGTATGTACCTGGGTCGGGTGTAGCCTAGTAGTTAACGTGCTTTGACTGCGAATTCAACTATTCATTGTTCGTGACCCCTTTCCACAAAATATGCACTCCGTATATTGGGGTCATGGGTGCGTTATAAGAGTGACCGTCAATAATAAGTTGGAAAAGAACGATTTATAAGCATAATGGAGTGATTTATTTTTAGGGAACGTATTACAAGTTTCGACGTTACATTGGTCTGTCTTCATGGAAGGCAATGTTCTGTCGAAATATGTAGATGTTCACCCCCCCGAAAAAAACAACTCATTTCGTTGTGCTTATAAATCGTTGTTCGCCAAATTATTATATTAGCATAATATGCTACCTTACTCAAAAGTAGTTCAAACTTTGGCGATCTATCAGCTCAAAATGAGGGCTGTGCGCAGATAGCCCTTTGAGTAGTTTTGCGCGAAAATTTCGAAACAAACAGACCTCCTGTGCCAGAAGTTTAATTAAACAGTTTATCAAATCTGGATACAAAATGGAATCAATTTTTTTTCTTACATTAATTAGAAACAAAGCTGAAAAAATTGAAGATTAATAAATGAAAGTTTTTGTGTGTGTGTTTCTGACATCCAGTTTTAGAATGAAAAATTCGTATTTTACAGCATGTTAATAAATGAAAGTTTTGTGTGTGTTTCTAACATCCAGTTTTAGAATGAAAAATTCGTACTTTACAGCATGTTAATAAATGAAAGTTTTGTGTGTGTTTCTAACATCCAGTTTTAGAATGAAAAATTCGTACTTTACAGCATGTTAATAAATGAAAGTTTTGTGTGTGTTTCTAACATCCAGTTTTAGAATGAAAAATTCGTACTTTA